ATATGCTTTGAGGGTCAGCTCAATCTTAAGAGTTTTGATAAGAATTTAGATTTCAAGAACTAATGAAAACTAACCCCAGCTCGATTATTTAAAGGCTAATACTGCGATCTATCAAATGATTTGAATAGGGCTCAGTACCTAGTACCTTCTAGTATTCGATTAGCCATTGATTTTCACCACTCACAGCCCGTTATCTCAAATGTTACGCATATTTCATTTACATAAGACTTTTATACGCGATCCGTTTACAATGCCTTAAAAGCAGGAGTTGGCCTAGAAGGATGACTCCCTCAGGCACAATCTCAGCCACACATTAACGTATACAATGTAATATAGATGTGTGTGTGTGTGCGTGTGTGTGTGTGTGTGTACATAGATCGACTGGGGCATAAAAGTTTTGTGGCAAGTGTTTTATTTTTTCGCATGTTCTCTCCCAACCGACTTTTATGCATCCACAGGCAGCCATGAAATTTGATGATGGGCAACATGAAAAGGCACAAACGTCAAAAGGTTGGGCAAAGGTTTAAATATTGCCTTGCGTTTGCCACAGAGCGCTGTGGGTAATGGATGGGGGAAGGGGCTGGGCCATGCTGAGCTAAGTAAGCGACAAGCGATGCTTGTCTAGACGACCATCATAATTTGCACACATCCGCTTGACACGCTGGGCTGGAACACGCCCACACCTGGCTGTGGGCCAACAGAAACTTGATGGTCTGCCATTTCGAGCTGGATCAGTGGCCATTGCCAACAAGTGATGCGTTTTATTGTCTCGCCATTAACGGTTTTCCGTTTCAGCTTTTCCTTTTCGTTTTCTTGTTTTTTCTTTTTTTTTTTTTTGGGACACGTGCAGCATCACAGCCCGGAACGGCACGCGCTGCAACTACGTGAGAGCTCGAGTGGAGTGTGGCCGATGCTGTGGCTCTTTCGGAGATGCTGCCAACAAGCTGGGGATTTATATTCGGCTGCTGGCTCGCATAAATCCATAAAAACTTGCACAACAAAAGCTAAATAAGACAAACAGAGAAGCTGAGTGTATTTAGGCTGGTGGAGGAGTCGCGTCCATGTCCATGTGTGCTGCGAAATCTGTTATTTATTGAGTCAATAAAAATTTGGTTTAATGCATTGCAAGTTTCGTTCGCTTTTTGTTAGAGATTTGCCAACAGATTTACGGCCTTTGTTATGGGGTTGTCGAACGGCAACTTCATAAAGGAAATCAAATTTTCTGCGAGGCCTAAAAGTGGGCAACAAGTTTTCCCAATTGCCAACCATTGTCCGCTCGGCGTTGCTGGGGCTATCCATATCAATATGTATTAGAGTTTTATTCTTTCGTCTTCTTTTTTTTTGTGGCAATCGATACTGCACTGATTGTGCACACACACACACACACACAGACACACGCACCCACAACAAGGAAGCCAATTGGCAAGCCTTTGTGCTGCGTGTTGCTGGGGCGTGTATTGCTTACTCGCTTGGCATTTTAATTAAAGCTGCAAACAGTAACTGATTGTTGTTACACACACACGCACACACACAGGCACACACATTCCACTCCCACACACACACACTCACGTATTGCACATACCTTTCGTGTGCTGGCCGCAGATAACGCTAGATTTCCCATTTGACCACAGCTGGGGCAAACGATTTGCTTATCCTTTCAGTTCCTTTTGCGCTGGCTTAAATGTACTTAACGCCTGCTAAGCTGCGAAATGATTATGCTTAAGCGTTTATTACTTGTTTGTTGTGGTTGTCTTGGTTATAATATGCACAAGCACACACACGCACGCACACACACACACTCACAACTACACACATCAGTTGTTGTTCTGATTTACGCATTTGTATGCTGGATTAATTGCCATGACATTTGCTTGCGGCTGCTGATATTTTTATTTATAATAATAATATATTTTATATATACATATTTAATTTTTTTTTGTGCATTCAAACAATAAATTTAATATTTATTTTTTATTAAAGTTGACACAATTTTTTTTTTTTTAATTTTTTTAATTTTTTTTTTCGTATTTTTAGCGGTTTTATTTCAAATTTTACTTCAGGCCCAGCCCAAAGCCTAGCCGCTCGCTTTACGAACCGCACTCGCCGAGATGCCGCTGATAACTGAAGGCTTCGCATCTTAACAAGCTTCCAGTTCTTACCACTTTAAGGGCTCGGCAAAATGGCGCGAAACTTTTACGTTCCACATGGAAAAAGCTCGCCGCAAAAGCTTCGTTCCACTCAAGCAACAAGACGACTGATGCTTCGGCTGCCAAGCAACAGGTGTGCGTGTGTGTATGTGTGTGCGTGTGTGCTAAGTGAATTTTGTGTAAAATTTTGAAATGCAATTTCTTCTTCGTCTTTTTTGTCTACTGCTAATCCGCTCATTTGATTTATGTAAATATTTATTAGAGACACTGTTTGCTCGGCACTTTGCTGCCCCGGCAAGGACACTGTTTGCTTAGGTGGCTCTGTTGGCCATGGTAAACATGCTGGCAGAAAGGGATATATTAGTTTTGAGTGGCAGCAGCCGCCATATCGTTCTTTGAAGTAGCGTTCAGCTCTAATCAAATTAAACTCGAGTGCGACGCGTGTCGACATTTATTAAAAATCACAATATGCTCCAGGTGCGCCGAAATTGCCGGAAAGCAAACTCAAATTGAAAACGAAGAAAAACAAATGGAAAACGAAATATGCAAAAAAAAAAAAAAAAAAAAGAAATGAATCTGTGCCAAACAATGCTAACCCAAAGCACACACACACACACACACTCGTACAATCATACACAAACACTCAAACACACACACACAGGCGGGCGCACTCACGTATTTAAATAAAAAGCCAACATGGAGCCTACTGATAATAACACAATGACAAAACAATTTTTTTTTTTATTTTTTTTTTTGGCCACCTTCCCTCATAATATATAAACAGCTGAGGGCTGAAAATGTGTCTGACACATTCGCCAAGCGTCCTTAACAGCTTAACAACAACAACAGCAGCAGCAGCAGCAACGAGAACAACAACAACAACAACAATAACGAGAACAAGCGAAACCTTCTAAAAATGCTAATGTCAACTGCCAGTGGAGAGCATTTAAATTCCATTTGAAAAATTCATTGCCAAGAGCAAAGACATGTTCGCCGTAAATGTCCTGCGTGCGTTGTATGCGCATATCCTTATGCATATTAAAGCAGCGAAGGACATGCCAATTGAATTAAATGCCAAGCATTTTAGCTTTGCTAAACAAGCCATAAAAGTGATTTTCCAGTGTGTGTGTGAGTGTGTGCGAATGTGTGTATATGTGTGTGTGTGTGTCGAGACTAAAACGCTTTCACTTCGAATCCTAGATTGATTCGCTAAGACAGACAAAAGTTTTTCAATTTAACAGCAGCAGCAGCAGAAGCAGCTGGAAAAACTATCAGAGTTAACTGTTTGATTTTCTTTTTAGCCAAGCGAAATTTCTTGGCAAAGGGTGAACGCGCGTAGATAGCTATTGTTATCAATTAAGCTGAGTCAATGATAGACACGTTAATACCCTGCAATACCTTTGCAAAGCAACAACAGCTCGGCTGAGCCAAGTCTGGCCAGTGCAGCATGGCGTATGCGTTGTTGAAATAGATTTACAGCTCAACTGCTTGAAGTTTTTATTTTACGGTAATTTTTATTATATAAGCTTTTTAACAAGCCCAACTTTTCTTAGCCTAATGAGCTCTTGGCATAATCAGCTTAGCTTAATCCGTTCTAGCTCTTGCAGCATGCTTAACTTTAATTTTTATGATTAAGGTCTTTTGGAATTCCACACCAGATCTTAAAAGTAACCGCAACTTCAAAGATTTGCAGTCTTTAAGCCATGAAAAAATGTCGTCGACTCTCGTCTTAGCCGCGGTTAAGCCAAATGTCGAGCATGTGACAGCGAAGCCAAAGTTGAGATGAATACGCAGACGATGCTGACAAAGTTGTAACTGAACAATGGGCTAACTGAGCCAGCAGGCAACTGAGTAGCTTGGCAACAACAACAACAACAACAACAACAACCATGAGAAATCTTATTATGCATAAAGCTCAGCCAAGCATGAGCTAACTTCTTCCGAAGGCTGCCGCTGCACTGATAAACCAAATTGAGTAGCGAATAAAATCAGAAAATAATGCGTGAGCAATGCTAATTAGTTAACGAAATATTTGAAAATTTTACAAATATGTAAAGTAAATATAGGGAAAATATTTTTTAATAAAAAAATGACATTTTGTGCACCAAAAATCGTTTATGGCAGAGCTGTAACTTTTTCAACTCAGTCGTAGTCAAATATTTCAAAATGAACACATAAATACATTTTGTAGAATAAATTCAAAATTACCTAGCAAATTTTGGTCAGAAATGGAGCGTACGTAAACTCGAAATATCCAAAGAAGTTGCACGAGTGCAAGTTGTAAAGTATTACTAAAAGTAATTTAATTTATGTTTTCATCTAAAGAGTTTTTTATTTACACATGAATAACCTTCTGAGCTCCAATATTTACCAAAGCCAATTTACATTACAAATCTGACCTCACCGAATACGCCTAGAAATTTCCCTGAAAAAAAACACCCCATTGACAATGGCAAATCCATGTCTAATCGCGCATTATTTTGTCATTTTTAGGCCTGATTGAATCTAAATCAGAGTGTTTAGTGTGTATTAGCTGGCATTTGGTCCATGTGCTGGTATTTCCCCTGAACTACAGTTTAGGCGAGCCACGGTCACGCACGGTGTCCGCTCCGCTCAGCTCAGCTCAGCTAGGTGAAAGTAATTCCCATATCAGTCGACGCACTCGAGCCATCAGTTGGTCAACATTTTGTTATTCTCGATGTGTCACCTTCAATGGACGCATTGAACCACGTTGACGTTATGTTTTCATTATTATTTTGCTTTTATTTTTTTTCGTTTTCCATGGCGATGACGATTACAAACTCATTAAATTATAATATCTGAATGACTATATAAAGCCGCGTTGGGTTGGCGCACAAATTTTATTCGTTTTTCCGCCACGCGTTCGAGCCAAGCCAAAAGCCAAATAAAAAACTTGCGCAAAATGCAGACGAGAAAAGTTGAAAAATTTGCGGGCGTTGCATTGTTAATGGTAAGTAAATACCCTTTAATGCAGGGACTCCCCCTTCTGATTACATATTCATGTGCAGCTGCTGATGATGCTCAGCCCCGCCCAGGCCGCCGCCTACAATTGTTCAGCGCCCCCGAGCTTCAACAATTTCGTAAGTACATTTACGAATGCCTGAATAATGAATGCGATTTCGCAAATATTTTTTTTTATATTTCATATTTTTTGTTTTCCTTTTCAGGATGTGAACTCGTGCTGCCGCACACCGGAAATCAATTTGGGCAACGTGCCACAGAAATGTCAGCAGCACGTGAACCAACTGAAGTCAGCCAATCCCAAATATCCAGCCTATGCGCATCTGGTAAGCTTGAAGTGGGCAAATATCAAATAGATTCACTGCCATGTGCCTCCGTTCTTTCAGTGCTATCCGGAGTGCATCTATAGAGAGACTGGCGCCCTGATCAATGGCCGCTTGCAAATGGACAAGGTGCGCGAGTACTTGCAGGAGCATGTGCATCGACGTGACCGCGAGGTGGTGCCACACATTGTGCGCTCCTTTGACACATGCCGCAAAAACAGTGCGTATACGTAATACACAAGGGGCACATGCATATTTATAATATATTAAAATATCATTTGCTTAGTTCACGGCCATTTGAAGGCCGCCAATCTGGAGAGCTATAAAGTGCTGCCCCAAGGCTGTTCGCCCTATGCAGCGATGCTCTACAGCTGCGTCAATGCGGAAACCTTTCTCAACTGCCCCGCCAAGCTGTGGAAATCGGACGAAAAATGCCTGGTGGCCAAGGAATTCGCCCAGCAATGCAATCCACTGCCCCACGTGCCGCTGCCCATGAGCTGAGCTGACCTGAAAATATTTTGAAATTTGACTATATATAAATATAAAATATTACAAATTATTTAAAAATGAATTGTTTATTTTCAAATTTTTTATTTTATTTAAAATAAATATATGTTTATAGTATTTATTTGTTAAATATTTTATTCTTTCTTATTTATTATTATTATTATTTTTATTTTACTTCTTTCTATTTTATATATTTTTATTTGTTTTTGTTTTTATATATATATATTTTTTTTTATATATTTTTTAAAGGAATATTTTGAGATATATATACTTTATTTTTATCTAATCTATTACTTGCATATTTTATAGTTATTTTATGTGTTTATTAAATTTTTTAAATTTATTTTATTTATTTATTTTTCATTATTTTCCAAATTTAATTTATTTTTAATATTTGTTATATATTCAGATATAAATATGCTATATAATCTTCAATAATAATATTTATATTCAATATTTTATAATAATTTTATATTATATTTTATTTAAGCTTTATGTATTGAAATATTCAATATTATTTGCATATATTTGTTCTATTTAAAATCTCATTAAATACTTGCATAATAACTGGAATCTTCCTACATCATTAATAATTACTTCATAATCTCAATGCTTTGATCGACTTCCATGCCCATTTAATGAGCCATGTCAAGCCGCATCCGGCTAATGATCTCTGCCAGGGCTCATTCAAGGTCCAGTTGCCAAAGAGTTTGGTTCGATCTCTGATCTGTGTAGTTTTTACTGTTATTTATCATGAATCATTCCGCTGTACTGATAATTAGCTGTTTGCTGCTGTGGAGCAATGCTCGAGCTGCGTTCAAGGACTTTGTTGTGGAGCCAGGAGATGAACAGGTTTACAGTAAACACGCACTAATAACTACAAATATGTGATTGCTGATTCATCTACCAACAGTTTGAGTCCAAAAATGACTTAGGCCTGGGCTGTGCTGCCGAGGAGTCTGAGCATTTGATATCCTTTCAGGATGTGGAACAGGATGGCGTTATAGATACACAGCTGCTGCTCTCAGCGCTCGTGCAGCATGCTCAGCGTCTGGGCGTCAGCCTGGACCAATTGGGTGGGTACAAAGCTCAGTTCGTAAATCATTTCAATTTACATATATATACACTTATTTGTGATTATTAACTTTATAGCAAATCAAGCGCAAACAATTGAAGCAGACGATTTACTGGAAGCGGAACTTGGCTGCGGCTCAGCCGGGTCGCTTAGCTATCGTGAGCAGCCCAGCTGGTATGATGTGTTCTTCTCATGAGCAGCTCGAAACTGATCTCAGATGAAAGATCCCACCTTAAGAAACTTTATGTGAAATATTTTGTAGTACAATAAAAGTAGTACAATAAAAAGCTGTTTAAAAAAATCATCTTTAGGGTATATCCTAGTCGGATACTCCGAAATATAGAGCTCTTAGTTGTTCTAGCTATGATAGTAATTATTTGATATATCTAAATTGATGCTAAATACAGTTGAACTTTATTGCGATAAATACTTTCAAATAAGAACCAGAGATCGGCATACTGATTATATAATACCAACTGATATCAAGTGAGATATTCCATATTATCCGATTCTTAGTATCTTGGTCTACACAGATTTCCAGTGAAATCGCACTTGCAGTTCAACTTGTGCTCACGCGCCTCCTCGCACGCCTTGCTGCTCTTCCAGCTGCTCGATGGGCAATTGACGTATATATAATCCACGGCGCACATTCTCAGATAGAGCGGCAATAGGGTGCATTTGTAATTGCCAAAGAAACGTCGTTTCTGAAACTTCTCCCACTGCTTTCTATTGGCCGAGCAGTTGAGCAGCGCTGCCACTGAGACGTCCACAAAGTCGGGATGAGCCCTCAATAGTATTTCAGTCATGTTGCGTGCATTATCCGGATTCAGCTGCTTTGCAGTCAACACTTGGCTGGCATTAAAGATGCAGTCCACTAGGCACTAGGCGTAGAAACAGTTAAGATCTATATAAGGCTTTGGCTACTTCTACTTACGGGTATCAAACTCAATTGATTACTGCTCAGAAAGTGGCCACATCTCTCGAGATATGGACTAATATCGACATCTGGCATTTCACAGCATCTAGCCGTCTATATATTTGTATATGTATATATTGGAATTTCTGTATTCATCCCACAAATATCCATTTTAGAGCTACTTACATTCGCATCCAAGCGCTTGCTGCAGTTGCTCCCTGAGCTCCAGCCCAAACATGGGTTAGCCAACAAACAAACTGTTAAAGCCACCCAAATGGCCAGCATTGCGATTGCTTTAAGCTATAAACGTCGGAAATTCTTGCTTTATATATACAATTATTTGGAATTAACAAATTAATGAAGCGCTCACAGTTAAAATGCTTAATTAAATATGTTTACATTTTCTAAATTGACTTTTGCCATCTATAAATAACTTTCGGGATTGCCTTTAATAATTATTTTCCCAACTTCAGTTTAAATTTGACATGCACTTTAAAAATGTAAATAAATTTTTTACTTATATACAACTTATTTAATCATTACATACATATGTATAGCCACTCACATAATTTTCCATTTCATACAATCTCTTTAGACTTTGTTGCAATGTTAAGTAATCAATGTTTTATTGAAAACTGTAAATTATTATATTTTATATATTTTTAGCATTTTTTTCGCAGATCTAAAATATTAATCATTGTGTATCTTTGTGCTTAACATGTAGCAGCGCTTGTCGAGTTACACATGCAAGAGCAACACACGCAAGTGCAATGTATATGTAATAAGCTAGGTATCGAAATTATTTAGGTCTAGTTAGTCATTATATAGAGCTTTCAGCATGTGGTCGCATTGGATATTCTTCACATTAATTTTACTTCCCGCTGCCGTTGGCGCAGCCAAGTGCAAAGCCGCGCCTAAATCTGTGCAGGTATCTAATTTAAATTAGCGCATGTTATCGATTAATCGCATGCCATCGATATTTGCAGAACGTTCAAATATGCTGTCCCTTACCGTTGCCCAATTGGGGTGCCTATAACAGCGAATGTGGCCAATCAGGGACTCAACCTAGCGTAAGTGTAGAAAACTATGCACATACATAAATTCCGATCCATATATATTATCGATGTGATCCACATAGTGCCGCCTGGCTTGCATATTTAATGCCACAAGGGCGCTGCAGGGTCGACAGCTCAATTTGACCCACGTACGACCGATGTTGGAGCGCGCCTTCACAAATCCCGACATCATCGATGCCTATGCCAGCAATTTTGTCAGTTGCGCCTCCCTGGTGCACAGCAAATACCAGGAGCTGGCACAGATCAGTAAACAGAGTGATGCCTGCGACCGACACGCCCTCTTCTACAGCCTTTGCGCCTACTCGCGACTGATGCGGCGCTGCCCGACCAACGTCTGGCAGCGCGCCAATAAACAGTGCCAAGAGGCAAGAGCTTATATGAAAACCTGCGCCTGGCCAGCGCTCAAGATGTTCATGAAAAGCACATAGAATAAAGCTAAATGCACATTTGCTACAGCAGACCAGTTTTATTGCCTATATAGTCAATCAGGGGACGCGTTATCAAGTCCAATACGCTGCGTTTACACTTAGTCGAGTAGTCGTCGCAGTTGTCGGTCTTTCCTTTACGCTCCGCATCGTAGTAACGCTCGGGCAACGACTCGTACGCCGAGCTGCTGGGACTGAACATCACCCGCATCAAGCTGCCCAGCACGCCATTTATCTCATGTATTGGGCCGCTGTTCACCTCACAAATGAGCCGTAGCAGACAATCATCGCCAGTGCCAAAGCCATGTCTAATGGGAATAGAAAAACAATATTTAATAGTTGACTCAAGCAAATAATCGAGGGATACAAATAGTTATAGATGACTATAAAGATTTACATATACATACACACATTTGTATACATTTGTATATGTATGTTACGCAGTGTGAAGTAGGAATTGAAAATATCAAAGGTCATCTTATTATAATTACAATTCACTTCAGCAAGCAGCAAAATATACACACACCATTATAAAAATGCTTGGCCATGTAAGAATACATATACATATGCCTATGTGTGTGCTTGCGCGCTCATCTACAAAAAGTCATTTACACTCCTCACATGAACAGTTTTACACTCTTTACTCGCTCTGAGCGTGACAAACCGTTTGCCCAATTTGTTATGCTCATACTCTCAGAGCGCGAAACAACGGAAGTTCACACACATGCATTTAAGAGAGCAATGAGAGAAGACAAAACAAAAATAAGAGTGAGAGGCTATCTCGCTCGATCGCGTAAGGGTATAAAGGCAGTCAGTTGCCATTGCACATTGGGAGTTAGAGTGGGAGATCCGTAGCTAGCTCGGGACTCTGCATACCTAAGAGTTTGTATGGTTGCTGCAACTGTAATTGTAACTTCGAGCTTTATACGTACTGTTGGAATCGCTGGCTGAGTATATGATAGAACTTTGTGCGGGAGAGCAACGATTGCTGTTCCAAGTCGCGCGCAAAAGAATCCTCGAAGAAATCTTTGTAGTCATCTTCGGGCGGTGGCTTTGGCTTGTGCTTCGGTTTAGTTTTGTGCTTGTGTTTGCGCTTGGGTGGTTTTTGTGGCTTTGGTCTCTTGCGCTTGGGTGGCCCTATGATGGGCGGCCTGTGGTGTGGCTTATGATCCTCATAGTCATGATAGTCATCGTAGTATTCGTCAAAGTCATCCATTGGATGTATGTGTGAGTCTGAGTCTGTGCCATTGCGACGACGCTGAAAAATATAAAAAGCAATAGACTCAAAATTAACATAATAATAAAATAAAATTTGCAGTTTACTTACGAAAAATCGCCGTCTTCTGTGCCAATGCCGTGGCAGTCTGTAGCTGGCCTCAAAATTATAGGAGACAAACACATGTCGCGTGGGCAGATCAATTGGTATAGCTATCGATATAAAGAGCTGTCAACACTAGATTAGATTAACATAATTCTAGATGAGATATAAATACACATAGCTAATAGATTTGCAGTTATTTGAGGTGGAGACCTACCGCCATCTCGCCACCTGTATTCCATACAAGCGCGGACCTTACGCTGTGCGCGAAGCAGATGGCCAACAGCAGATTTATCAGGCACATGATGGCCATAGAACTTCTGAAAAACAACTGAAAATGAAAATGTTTTGTCAAGTGCCTAGGCAGAAAACTGTGTCGACCGATATGCCAATTAGCAGCAGCAGCAACTGGAATGGTTCTTTGGAAGTGAAAGTTGTTAATTGAAATGGAGCTGGATATGAATTCAGGTCATACAAGAAAGTTGTTTCCGATTAAATATATAGTATATATTTTAAGACATAAATATAAATTATTTTCACTAAAATTAATTAAATAATCTTTATTTGTAACTACATTTCTATGCGCTTGAGCATCTCTTCAAATGGTTCCGTTATCAGCGCCAACAAGCTGTGTCCACAGCTTTCCTCATAGTGATGGCAATGACCATGCCAGCCATCCTGCTCCGCCTGATAGAACTGCAGCGGCAGCTGCTCCGGCTCCGAGGTGCTGGGACTGTAGATAGGTAAACCATGTAAAAGTTGCAGAGATCATAAGCTAACTCACCTGAAGAGCACATGCATTAGACTGCCCAGCACGCCATTCAGCTCGCCCAGCTCAGCAGCATTGGTCTCGCAGATCAAGCGCAGCAAACAGGACTCGCCAGAGAAGCCGCTTCTAAAAGCAAACATAATCATTATCATCATCATCATCATCATTATATATTGTATACAACTCGTATATACCTCTTAAATTTATCCATTAGTATATGATAAATATTGCTGCGTGTTAGCAGCGCGCGTCTCTCGCGCTTGGGCATTGAAGTAGCTTCTTCCTCCTCTGAACCGCTGCCCTCCGCATCAGACTGCTCTAGCATTGTTGCCTTGCGAGACAGCTCCAGTTCCTCAGACTCGATGGGACCATTTTGCTGAGCAAACAATAAACAAACAATTCGATATGAAAGTATTGTTGTTGCCCGTGACGGTGCTAATAGACCTTTTACACTCGTGCTAACTGACTTCGTGCAGCGCTAGACTTACAAATAACGTTGGCAGACTCCAGTTGTAGGGCGAGTTATAGTTAGCCTCAAAGTTATACGAAACAAACACGTTGCGATGCGGCAGCTCCAGCGGCACGGCCAATGCGGCGAAGACCTGTCGAAGAAGCACAGTCTTAGCCGCTAAATTAGAGCCCAATTTATATCCAACCTACGCCATGCGTGCTGGAGGGCGTAAAAGCCAAGTAGCCACTGCAAGATTCTGCATAGAATACCACACACAGGGCCAAAAGCCAGCAATGATTACGAACTAAACCCATTTCAATTGCTCAGTCTGAGCTTCAGCTAAGAACTAAATTCTGCTCTGCTGACAGCAGCAGAAAATGCGTTTGCTCCAGAGAAAGATCTCGTTAACTCGCTGGGCAAACAGTGAGTGCGAGAAGCCAGTGAATGAGTGTGAACGAGATGCAATGATGTTTAATTTAGCATATGTACTCCATTTTATTTTCTTCTTCTTCTTCTATGTACATGATCTTGTATTAGTCGCTCCACGGGCACCGAGATCAAATCCAATACATTGTGTGGACAATCGCCATCGTAGTGCGCACATTGCTGCTGCACTCCATCAGACTCGGCTTGATAGTAGGCATTGGGTAGATGCTCATCCCTAGAGCTGCTGGGGCTGCAAGCAAAAGAAGGAAACTTTACCTAAGCCTTATGAAACCCGATTATCACCATACCTAAATATGACATGCACAATGTTGCCCAGAAGTCCATTAATCTCGCCCAGCGTTGAGGCATTCGTCTCGCATATCAAACGCAGCAAACAGGCCTCTGCGGGATAACCAGATCTGCGGTGATTAGATGATTATTATATATAAATAGAGTATATATGAATGGGGACTCTCACCTATCTAGTTTATCCCTGATCATGGCATAGAAGGTTTTACGCGATATTATCGGCAAATTGCGTCTCTCTCGATGCTTTGCTGGTGTCTCTGATAATTTCTGCTGCCCCGCAGGTATTTTCATGCTCTCCTTTTGCGTATTATTGGCACTCCCAGTGCAATTCACACACGATTTACCTTCCCGAGCATATAGTGTGGGATATGTCAAATAATCATCCTCAAAATCTTGTCCCATCTGTAGAAAGACAATTTACATATAAAAAAGACTTAGGAAACAAACTTATCTAAGTACATTGCATGAATGCAGATATCGAAACGACTTAGAAAACAAACTTGCTTAATCTTACCAAAATTGAAGGAAACTTATAAACATGCTCAGGCTTATAGTAATTAAACTCGTAATTGTAGGATAGAAAAATATTGCGATGCGGCAAACTAACTGGCACAGATATAGCCATAAAGACCTGCAAATTAGAAGGACGTTAGCCACAAAATGCGCAAGTCTCTAACAACAGTTAGCAAGTTACACCATAATACGAATTTGTGGGATAGAGCAGCGCCGCGTGATTGAAGTTTATGCAACAGTTGCACAAGAGGCACAGTGCAAGAAACGAGCTGAACAAGCTCTGCATCTTAATGTAATACTAAACTGAAATTCTTAAACATTCGGCGGTTTAAACTGGATTGTTCTTGAAGGCACGACTCGCGCTGAACTGACGTTCATTGTATCCACCGTCAAGCAAGAAACTTACCTATTCTATTCAAAAGTTGTTAATTAGAATAAAAGTTTAGGTTTTTTTAGAGTGATGCGTAACATTGGAAGTGGGTCAGGGGGAAGTTGGTTAAATAAAGTAAAGTTAAACAATAGTTGAATTCACAATCGGATGTATAGGTTTGAGATCCCCGGATCATGGACAGTTTACAAGTAGTGTTTATATACAAATTAATATTAGCAAACGTAATGCGTGTAAATATGGATATATGTATTTGAATGCGCTGCGCGCACGCATTTTATTTTCTTCTTCTTCTATGTACAAGATCTTGTATTAGTCGCTCCATGGGCACCGAGATCAAATCCAATACATTGTGTGGACAATCGCCATCGTAGTGCGCACATTGCTGCTGCACTCCATCAGACTCGGCTTGATAGTAGGCATTGGGTAGATGCTCATCCCTAGAGCTGCTGGGGCTGCAAGCAAAAGAAGGAAACTTTACCTAAGCCTTATGAAACTTTCTTGCCACCTTACCTAAATATAACATGCACAATGTTGCCCAGCAGTCCATTAATCTCGCCCAGCGTTGAGGCATTCGTCTCGCATATTAAACGTAGCAAACAGGCCTCTGCGGGATAACCAGATCTGCAGTGGATTACAGATGATTATTACAGAGACTATTTACGAATGGGGACTCTCACCTGTCTAATTTATCACTGATCATGGCATAGAAGGTTTTACGCGATATCATCGGCAAATTGCGTCTTTCTCGATGTTTTGCCAAAGTCTCAGATGATTTCTTCTGCTCCGATGCAGTTCCTATGCTCTCCGTCTCCGTACTATTAGCACTCACTGTGCAATTCGCACACGATCGACCTTCCCGGGCATTATTTGTGGGATACGTCAGATAACCATCCGCAAAATCTTGGCCCATCTATAGAGGCACATTTCACATTTTAAAATATGTATATTAAAGGACTTAGGAAACAAACTCAACACAATAGTCCTGTGGACCCTCGGTTAACGAACGCTTTGGATACCGAATACATTTTTTTGAGCAAATAAGTTTCGGCTAAAGGTTAATGTTTCATATAATGACCAACAAAAATATTGAAAGCATTCGAAAATCCTGAATACATATTATAGTGCTGTCCTTTGATGGTTTAAGCAGTTTCTTTCGCTATTTCGCATGCAATTTACGCGCTTAGCGAAACGCTGGAAAGAATTTTGTTTGTTAACCGAGGGTCCACTGTATATAAATATCAAAAACTTACCAAAATTGGTGGAAATTTATAAACATGCTCAGGTTGGTAATAATTAAACTCGTAATTGTAGGATAAAAAAACATTCCGATGCGGCAAACTAACTGGCACAGATATAGCCATAAAGATCTGCAAATGAGGACATTAGTCACAAAATGAGAAAGGCTTTAACATTTAGCTTATTACACCATATTCCGAATTTGTGGGATAAAGCAGCGCCGCATGATTAGAGTTTATGCAACAGCTGCACAAGAGGCACAGTCCAAGGACTGACCTGAACAAGCTTTGCATATTAACTAAAGTTGTACAACACTCGGAGGTTTGTAATCGGATTGTTCTTGGCGGCACGACTCACATTGAACTGATGTCCATTGTATCCATCGTCAAGCAAGAAGCTTACCGTTGAGATCTTCTACAGTTGTTAATTAGAATAAAACTTAGGTTGCTTGACAGCGCTGGATCAGGTTGAAGCTGGTTAAATGCAGCTAAAACTGTGCACGTTAATTGAAGAGAGGCGTGCCTGAGATATATCTAACATAACAAATCTCATAACCAAATATATCCAGTTAAACAACTGTTGAATTGACAGTCTGATGTATAATTTATAAGCACCACATAATGGACACGTTACAGTGGTTATATGACTTAATCAATATATTTATACGTAACTCATATATGTATATATGTATGTATGTATTTGAATGCGACGCGGGCTCTAAACGAATGCCCCTAATATGTAATGCTTTGCTATTGTTGATTCTCATATGACTGGCTGCTTCTGCTGCTGCTGCTGTAGCTGGTGCTGCATATGTTATCTGTTATTACGCAGCTTGCGCTCCTTCCATGTTGCATACTTGGAGTTGGCAGTGCGCAGCAGCAGGTTCATGTGTTGTGTGAGTGATGAACGCAGAGGCGAGACCTCGTGCATGGCACGATTCTAAAAGAAACCAAAAATTTTTATACATATATATAAATTGGGATTGCGTCGAATATTCACTTACCTCGAAAGGCACTAGTTTGGCCATTTTAAAACGTTGTAGAGTATCATGCATGCGCTGCAGTTTAGCTTCCAATTCTTCAGTTGTGGGCGGAAAGCAATTCCAAAAGTGTTTTAAAAGCTCCAAGAGCGACAAATACAAATGCCGCAAGTCACGTTGAAAGTCGCGTGGCACCAGCTCTAATGGATTGGAAACATGATTTTAATACCAATTAAGAATTGCGATAAGAGTCCTCAACTTACGTCCAGCTGACTGCTCTTGAAAGCCACGCATAAGCTGGCCACCGGGACTAAGTTCACCTAAAGCATTGACCGCCGCCTTTGGGCAAATAACATGGCGCTGTGCACTGCGATTTAGCCAGGATTCCGAATCGCGCACCAGCTTATACTGCACTTCGTCCAGACTGAGTGCATCCTGTTGGTTCTCGTATATATTATGCTGCAGCGGACCATTGAGGTAGCGTTCCACTTTGGACAGTTCGACTTGTTTGCTTTTATTGGTCGATTGGAGCGGATCTTCGGCTTCGATTACTGGATCGCCCAAATCTTCGTAGTGTATCTTTTCAATGAGTCGTTGCTTTTTGGATGGCGCTGCTTCATTACTACTCGTACTGGTCGCATTCTCAGTGACCGCATGCTTAGCTGCCTTGCCATTGAGGCCATTAGTGTAGGCAGATTGTCCTAGCGGGCCATTGGCCGCGTTTGTACCGTTGGTGGCCGGGGCTGGAGCGCCATTAACATTTGCGCACGTTTTCAATACCATTATGGAATGCTGATTGAAACGCTTGATCATGTTTTGGTGGACAATGTTGCCACTGTTGACCACATTGCGATCTCCAGCCACACTTCCGAACCCTTCCTCCAGCGGCACATCCTCGAACTTTTTCAAATCTAACAGCGGATCACCTGCGCCCTGCTGCACGGCTGCCTTTAGCGCTTGATCATCAATTTTACCGCACTCCGTAAATATGTCTTTGGTCCCAGCAGTCAGACGATCCCGGTGAAAGTAGTGCGATTGAAAGAATTTCGTCCAGAATTCCGATTCGGGCATTTTGGAAGGAACGTTCTCCATGTGCTTGCGTTTCACGGCGGGATATGTTTTAAAAATGCAGTGTATGACATCAGAGGTAAGATTGTATTTAAGGCCATTGCAACCGTCCGTCTGTGGCTTGATGTCCGCCAAAAAAGCGCCTGACACACCTTTAAAAAAAAGCAGACGCATATTAATATATATAAGCATACAAAACAAATGTACTTACCGATTTCCTGGCTCTTGCCCATTTTTTTAAGAGCATGGTCTTTGGCGTGCGTTGCCCAGAACTCATCGCTGGTAATTACTTTGGTAATGACCAAATCCTTGTAAAGCTGCAGCAAATTTGGATTCTCCACCAGGATGCGATTCTTGTCCTCTAGATCTTTGTCAACCTTACGTTTGAAATTTGGCAACAGCGACTGCAGAAGCTCTTTAACTTTGTCACGATCGGCCAGCATGGCAGCCTGCCCCAGACGGTTAACAAAATGGAACGTCGACGTGTTACCATCGTGCAGCACCACCTGTAGCTGCACCTTCGGCTTGCCTTCGGGCGAGATCTTCTGTGCTGTATTGAATAAAAAGCAATTAAAGTCAATTTCGTTCGAAGTAAACGACGTTAACGCGCACTTACTTTTGATATCCGCAAAGCGATGGGAAACGGTAACGGTGTCCCGGTGTTCGGCCATCCATGCCAAGCGCTCGTTCATAACATAGAGTGTGCCGTCTCCCTTCTTGTAACGCACCTCGCCCATCTGTAGCAGCACATCTTCGCTGCTAGTGGTCATTGTTGTCGTCTCGTCTGTCTACGTCTGCAGCCGGCGGCAACGCTTCAACAATATTCCCTATAACAGCTCACATCAATTTCACAAATGCCAGCCCACACGCCTGCAATATGCAGAAAATGAATAAAAATCACGCATTTTCATCGTATCGCATCACAAATTTCATTTGCACAGATCCCAGTGTCTGTCAGACACACGCGGAACCATGGTGCGCAACGTGGAATAGCCAAATAGCACAATACTTCGCTATTTTCACGAGATTACTAAAAAACGCACCTCGCAGCAAAATGCAATTGCCCAACAGCGTTCGTGGTTCGTGATTGAGCGAAAAATACAAAGTTCACTGAACTAGTTCTTTTAATCAGAAAATGTAAGACGATGGCAACACTTATTTGCAGTTACTTTATGTGCCGGCGCCAAAAATGCTTCTCAAAATAAAACAAAATCAATGTTATAACAAAAACATATAATTTTTCAACTGTCAACTTAATTACGATTTAACAAAATTGTGAATGTGTAACTATGATTTCACTTCAAATAGATATGGTATGTACATAAATAAACTCTTTTATATTCGTTCATACATACTTATGTATGTATGTATGGCTTTATACGTATGTCTAACTGTAAATGAACGTATATATATTTGCATATATGTATGTGCATGTACACTTGCACATTTACCGGTGTCCCGTATCAACAATCGTCGTCTGTTAGATCAATTTTTACGAGATGTTCTCTCTTCGTTGTAGAGTCTCTTTTAGAAGTTTTTGTACCTTTTTTCTCGTCAATTTCCGATTGCCAAGTGAGACGCTCCTCGTAAAACTTAATAACCACTTGCGGACATTTTATGTTGGCCAACTTAGCAGGCACCAGATCAATGTAATTTGAATTTTTCCAAGACATCAAAAACATTAGCTTTCCAGAAGTATCCGTAGCTCCCAATATTTTCGAAGCAATCAATCCACGTTGAAAACCAAAACTGCCATCTACTTGTTCCTGCGCCATAGTAATTCCGGCGCTTTCTTCAGAACTTTGGGTCGATAGCTTTCTCTTCCTATTCTGGGTCTTCTTTTTTTCCGATTCTTCGAATTCAGCTATAAAATCGGGACATGAGAGATTTTCAAGCGGCTCCCAAGTATTTTCACTCCGCGGATATCCCAGCCATTTTAGATAGTATTGAGTTTTTCCATTTACAATGCGTTTGCCTTCGATGCGTTCAACAACGTAATCGGACATGATTGATTTTTTTTTTTTTAAATTATATATACATTCATATATATATAAATTTTGAATATATATTTCACTATGATCTGTGTCTTTCCGGTAAATTCTGCTTGAAAACTTGATGCACGAGCTGGTTCAGAACGCCAATAAAGCTTTTGAGCAGGTGTGGCAATACTGCTTCTTCAACGCAACAAAGTCGCAGCACTTTTGAATTCTAAGAAATAGACTTAAGCTAAAATATAATTTTTAATCGAATTTTTGTATTATATTGTATTGTATAAGATATATTTTTATATTGCGCTTACCCTCTTCAATGCTGGGCTTGTATGTACATATGTATATGAGTTAAACTGCGTTGGATTTCATGAAATAAACAACCTATATTTTGCTGTTGAAGCGTTTTTTTGGTCTCTTTCTGTGCATATGTGTGCTCACTAACTTTGCATGTCATGTGTTCATTGAAGAGCGCGTCTTTAGAACAATACATGTATACATGTGAACATACAAACATAAATGTCTCAAGCCAAGTAGCTTCCACTCCATGATCGTAAGAGAGCGTAAGCATGCATGAGTAATTAAGAGTCAAAAATGCTTACGTTCTTATTGTTTAATATTTAATCTATATTTATATATAAGTAATTAAAAAATTGTTTTGTCTGAAATTTTGTGTTCCTGCTGAAACTTTAAATATTTGTTGTATCTAATATTTATTTATTTTTCTAGATTACGAGTTAAGTACATATAGCTTGCCAATATTTAAATCAAGCGCAAATATAAATCGTTCATGGTAAATGTCGATTTTAATATACATACCATATTCGTGTATAGATGTGCTATCGATAAACTGTCCAACTGTCTACAAAACAGTTACTCATTTGACACTGTTAGGTATTACTTTTTGAAACATGTAAATCTGATCGAAATTCCAACTCGTGAAATGTTTCACTTACGAAAGTAAACTGAACAATTACCATAGTAAAGTTGTGACAGTTTAATTTTTTTATTGGAATACAGCTGTGCAAGTATGAAGCAATGTTTCAATTTTTAAACAAATAGCTAACAGACCGCTATTAACTGTTCAGTATTGAATTGCAACCGTTCGAGCAAAATTTTGTTGCTGCCAACTGTTAGTTAGCAGACAGACAAGAAGGAGAGCGTAACGTAGAAACAAACAAATATATTATTAAATGCAATAAATAACTAGCAAGCAACGTATAAATATAAAAAAAAAGCTGTCAAGGTACGCAATATTGTGCAGTGTAGACGTGGCAATTATAAATATGTATAAACAAAATCCGAAACGAATTAACTAAATTAGCAAATAAAATATTAGTGTGAAATTTGCTAGTCAATCTAAGGCGTAACACATCGTTAAAGAAAATGTGTTACTACATTTTGAAATGCCAATTTCTGCCGTAGTGAAAAATTCAATTTGTATTGTGCGATGATTCATAGTTAAATGAAAAAAGTTATACAAAAAGAAATGGAAAGGTGGCAGTGACGCGGCTGCTCATCAACCACCTCTTTACCTTTACCTTTACCCTATTACCTCGGAGCCCCCGTTACCCAACACTCAATAATAAGTAGTCGAAAACAAGCTCAAAAAAAAGAAAAATAAAATTACTGCAATCATTTATTGTACAATATGTATTTGTACATTAATAATGCACGTCAATGTGCGTGTAGGACAATGTGTTAGTGTCATTCGTTTAGTTTAACAAACAACAAAAGAAAGCGATTATTGCAACCGTGCTAAGCACATTTATGTGTGTAAATATATAAATACATATATACGCATTTTACAAAGAGATACATGTCATCATGCTCTATGTAGCAAGTGGCAATACTTATCTCATATTATCTTCTGTTTTCCATTTGAGATAAGTGCAAATAAATGAGTTTACTTTCTAAAAGTTGTACGACAAATGTCTAAGTAAATATATACATATGTATACAAATACAAAACACACAAACGCACATATGGTGCTTCTTATTCTTATGGTTTTTTCTTCTAACTATAACCGCCCACAAACACGCTTCGCCCAGCATGATAACGCTCTCTGTGATTATGTTTGTGTGTGAAATTTGCAGGCGTTACACTCTACGCATGGACTTTGTTGCGTGTGAACGCGACCCAATAAGATAATTTCCAATTAGAATCGTTTCATGTATCTTAAGCAATTGTGATGCCCCGCATAAAATCAAATTCACTTTTATGATTTTTGTATGGTCTCAAATTGTTTTTGCTGTAAATAAGGTACAGATATAAACAAATATAAATTAAATAAATAAAATATTTATACAATAATGGAAAATATTTATTTTTGCAATATACTTTACAATTTTGAAAGAAAAAAAAAATAAATAAATTAAATTAAAAACACAAAACACAATTAGAGCTCACATTTGCTAGTATTTAATTTAGATTTAAATATTTATACTTAAAGAAATCCCACAACTTATTCAATGACAAATACATAATACCCATTGAATTAAAGTAATCAGAAGTCGAGGGCGGTTGTCACTGCTGTGTTTTTGTACGCAGCCGGTTTGCTATCTCCGATTTATTTAATTTTTTTTTTTTTTTCGTGAATATCACACGTTTCGGCTTTGCTTGAGGTGCCAGCAAACGGATGAGTCCATGTTTGTTCTCTAATGTGCGAATGTTTCTTTGTGATTTGCCTTACCATTGCAGTGATTCACCCGCTCTTGGCCATTTAACAAGTTGAATTGTGATCAGAGGGATAGCTTACGAAAATGGATATTACGGTGCACGATAATGGCTACCAGAACAGCACCTATTGCCAGGCGAGTAATCGCACCACACTCTTCATCAGCGCCTACAATGGTATACCGGAGACTTTGATATTGAATACGATCTTCTGGGTACTGCTCATTCTGCTGTTTACGATGCTGCGACATCAGGCGAGCGACTATCGTTTGGCTCTGGTCAATTCCAATGGGACTAAGAAACGTTGGACGGAAATATTTTATTCTCGAGCCGCCAGTGTTGTGGAACCACAGCCGAGCACGTCAAATCCCTCAAATCCCTCGAATTCAATGCCTCGGCCAAGCACAATGTCACAGCAGAGCGACTCGACACCTCTATCGCCCATCCAAACCGAGCCGGGTCTCTTCAATTGGATTCGGGTGACCTTGAAGCTGCGCAAGGAAACAATTTTGCTACACTCTGGTCCAGATGCCGTTCATTATTTGTCCTTCCAGCAGCATATGATGGCTGTCATGGCGGTGGTCACCGTCATTTCGCTAGCTATCATCTTGCCAATCAACTTTCTGAATGGGCGCGACGAGCTGTACGATGTGAATGCCTTTGGACGCACCACAATGGCCAACCTGCAGCCGGAGTCACCCTGGCTGTGGGTACACACCATCATAACCATTCTGTATATACCGCTGGTGGTGCTCATCATGCGGCGCTCGTCGGGTCGCAATGCCTTTAAGAAGGCTGCCACGCGCACCATTATGATATCCAATATATCACACAGGTTGAACGAGCTGCTATTTCCATTTAAATACATATATATATATTTAATATATTATCTTTGCTTCTAGTGATCGGAACAAGACCGTCATACGCAACTATATGCAGGAGCTGTTTCCGGATGTCACCATCGAGAGCGTCAGCATTGCGTACAACATTTCACGGCTCTTCGTGCGCAATGCCGAGTTTGAGAGAGCGCACGAAGCGCGGGTCTACTGTGAACATCATCGGGACCGGGACACGCTGATGGCCAAGCCGGAGATGTGCTCGTGCAAGAAGGAGAATGCCTACGAGTATTATCAACGCGAGGAGCGTAAGCTCTCTGGCGATGTGGCACGATTGCGTGCCTCAACTCTGAATGAGCCCTTGGATATTGCCTTCTTGACCGTGTCCACGGTGCAGGAGGCACAGAATATTGTAAATCATTTCACGCCTGGCACATATAGGCAATGGCACATCGTGTTCGCACCGTCGCCGGATGATATCTTCTGGGAGAACCTGAATGTCAACAAGAGCCATTGGTATTTGAAATTTGTGTGCGTGAACGTTGTGCTCTTCATAGTCCTGTTCTTCCTGACGACACCGGCCATGGTGGTCAATTTGCTGAATAGTCGTCCTTGGGTGTTGGATACGGAGAGCAAAATCTCGCCACTTGTCTCCGAGTTCTTGCCCACTTTGATGCTGTGGACGCTGTCAGCACTGATGCCAGTGATAGTCTCTATATCAGATAAATGGATGGGCCATTACACGCGATCCAAACAGAACTACTCGATAATGTGCAAATGCTTTGGCTATCTGCTGCTAATGATTCTCATCCTGCCCTCATTGGGTTTGACGTCGGCGCAAGCACTTCTGGAATGGGGCCTGACGAACGACACGGGGCGTTGGCAATGCATCTTCTTGCCAGATCGTGGCTCCTTCTATGTCAACTATATTATAACTGCTGCCTTTATTGGTACATCGTTGGAGCTGTTGCGGTTCCCGGAGCTTATTGTCTATATTTGGGCGTTATTGAAGGCCACTTCGAAGGCGGAGACGCCCTATATACGTAAATCCATATTGATTGAGTTCCCGTTCGGCACGCACTACGCCTGGACCACACTCGTTTTCACCATATCGATAGTGTACAGCGTGTTTTGCCCATTGATCATGCCATTCGCCATGATCTATATATGTCTCAAGCATATGGTGGATCGCTATAATCTGTACTTTGCCTATGGACCATCCAATATGATATCACGGAAGGGAGGCAAAATTCATTCCACAGCGGTGACCATGACCAAGTTTTCGGTACTCATATTGGTACTGGTTATGGCCATGATATGCTATTTCCGTGGCAATGGCAGCATGGCTAGATTCCTGATACTGATCATAACGCTGGCTATAACCGTAACACTGTTTATCTTCATGTCGCCGATCAAACGTTGTGCGGCCACGCGACGTCCAAGTATTGTGGAAATCGCCGGCCCCGCACCCGCCTACATACCGGATGTGCTCCGAGCTACAACGACACAGACCAGCGGCAGGCCGTCGGTAGTCGGTTTTCCAGGATATGGTTCGGACAATGTATCTGAAAACGATAGCTCCCAGTATAGTGTCAATAGCGTGGAGGCGTAAGCGAAGCTAGCTGAAAAGAGACTCGCTCGAAAAGTAATTAAAATGTTGACATATTTTTGTATAAGGATTTTATAAGCCGTTGATAACTTTTTCAGAAATTTATATGGACTTTGCTTGCAAAAATCGATAATGATCATAAAATGTGATAGAAATTAGCCTCGTGATTTGCGTCTGAGTTCGGTTGCGAAACGCGTTTTCAAAACTCGTGCCCGCTGAGCCCCCTTCTATTCAAATTATTATTTTTTATTTTATTTTTTTGTACATAAGCATATACCTATAACTAATATACATATATATTCTAATTTACCCTTTTATGATTATTAGTATTCTTAAATTTTAAATTGTAAATATTGCGTCATTTTGATCAAAAAGTATACTAAATGTCCCCTCTATTTGTCAGTACTTTAGCGATATTGCAATAAAAGACCACAAAACAGTGCATTATATTTATATATACACACATACATTTATATACGACTAATTTTATGAACAGGAGATGGAAGGATTTAGTTCGTTATAGACAGATCCAAAATTAAATGTATTTTAGTTTATTATTTATTTAAGTCTTCGATTTAATTATATACCGCAATTTGTAACTTTTGTTGTTATTCCAAGGAGAATTATTATCATTAGTAATAATTATTAAAATATATATATAGTAATATACCAATAAAATATTTTCGTTTTTATCAGCTTTTCGTTTAATCTTTAAATCAATTACAAGTGTCTAAAAAAAGTATTAACTAGATAAGATATGCATTTGTGTGCCCATGACTGCTTCATGAATTGCTTTGCGAATGTTTGATATAAAGTTTTGATAATTTTTTGCATATTTTATTGTTAGCCATGAGGCGCGAAAAATCTGAACCGAGGTGTATATGAAATAATATTCATAATAAACTCAGTTGATAAAACGTCAAATTATCTTCTCTATATATCCGGGGTAAAAAAGTGGGTCATGGGATTTTGTTATAATGATTCTTGTCAAGGGTGTATTATTCCATTTCAATGTCAAGTATTATTGTATTTGAATCCCTGATTTGTGTTCAAAGATTCGGTATATTCGAATTGCAAAAGCATTAAGTAGATGCATGTATGACGTCATCAATTGTTGCCCACATCGAAAGCACGCCGTAGAAACTTCTAGGTGAACACCTGCCGAAACTTCTAGTTGCCTGGCAGCTGCGCCCACTCTCGACCAATGGAAACTTAAAAAAGCAGCAATAAAAACTCCATTAAATATATATATATATGTATACAAGTATTTTTTTTGTTTATTTATCGAAAAAATCATAAATAAAAACGATCTAGTTTATGCGCATCTGTTTTACATGCAGATGCAGAATTACGTGTACAATTTTTCATTATTTATTTAAGTATTCTATTAATATTAGCCTGCAAATGTTTCTTCTATTTTTATGCGAAGGGAAATTACTCTCAGCATCGAAACTAATCAAATTTCTGAAATCCAACAGAGATATACAATTTTTGTTCCTTTCTCTTAGCAAAAATTACACATTTTGAATTTTATGTTCTTTTTCTCATAAATTGATGTAAAAAGATGTTCTTGACGATATCTTGATATATGCATATATATGTATATATTTATATATCTCTTTCTCGGTGAGGAGAGCCAAATGTTTTCCGTTAGCTTTCGTAAATAAAACTCCTAATTTATTAGATGATACGGTATTAACTTACAAGGGGAAACGATTTGCAGCAACTACACTAGCCACCACAAACGAAACTATCGTGTGGACTCAGCGTGTGTGAACAGCTAAGAACTACTATAGGTAATTGATATTTGCTCCAGATGCTCGCTGCACGCAGATACCAAATGAAATTTTTCGCCAATCTCGTATTCGAAACAAAACCAAAATAGAGAGAAAACCTACTATCTTTCTGTGTGTGTATATGTGTGCATGTGTATGTCTGTTTGTGTTTGCTGTGTTAGTTGGCCAAAAATAAAAGTGATCCTTCGCACATTTATGCCACGTAATTATATTGATTTTGATTATCCTTATCCCGCTCCATATAATCACGATCGATCAGTGACTCAATGCGCTTTTTCAGATCAGCAGGCTAGGGAGATAAGAAGCAAAAACAAATATAAAAGCAATTCAATCAGCTTAATTGGTACTCTACGCACCTTAACGGGAAAGGTTAGCTGGTTGAACAACTCGGTGATGAGCAAATTGTGACTCAGTGTCTTACGCATTTTCATAATGCGCACAATAGCCGCATCGATCTGATACTGGCGATCCTGGAAAACGCGCTCCTCCGTCGCCTTTTGCTCCTCGTTCTGCAAACAGTTTAGTTTTTACATATTGCTAGATTAACTTCTATTCTTATAACAATCTATTGCTTACCGTTTCCTTCATTTGAATTTGATTAATCTTGATACGGAACAATTTGTTAACGAACTCATTATTAAAATCAAATTGATCTCGATCCTCAATGTCGCGGCCTTTCGGCGTTTTGGTAATGACACGTGCACGTCCACATGCCAGCGACTGCAGTGTGCGCCGCAGTTCACCATCCTCAATGTTGGTGGCAGCCAAGATCTCCTCGTAGCTGAGCGTAGGCTTGTCGTTAAACAGCAGCAGAACCAACGCTTGAAACAGCGACACCATCAGCTCCTTCGGACCCTGTATGTTGCAATACAAATATAATATATTAATATAAAATATACAAGTTAATGTTGCCCTAAAATGTTGGCAAACTAAATGTTTCAGCTACCGCATCGAATTGTGCCCGCAATACGCAATTTCCCAGAGTAGGCTGCCATTGAAGTTTTCGCCCGCTGTGTTTCTCCAGATAGAACTTGTTGAATATCTGCTGGGGATTGATAAACTGTGGGGGCATTGTGACCTCAGTGGGCGCATATGTTGGCCAATAGCCCATGGTTAGGATGCTGACAGTCAAGTCTAGATTGGTTACATCGCGATCATTGCTAAGCGTATGACCGCGAAAAGCCAGATTCACATCACGACTTAATTCCATATCCTTGAACATGCCCTCCAGCTTCGATGTAAAGCCGCCGCCGCATTCCTGTTTCAATTTCGACAACATACTCTTCTCGGAATCAACCGAGGCTGATTTGCCCACCAGCAAGCGTTTGGCCAAATCCTGCAAAGATCAAATATTAATTTCTTTACGTATTAATTATATTTATAGTATATTTAACCTTTTTGTAGAATGCTTCAAAGACGTCCTTGCCATGTATAAAACGAAACAGGACCATTATCTTGTCCAAGGTCTTTTCCAGCTCCTCGTCGGTGGTGCCCTTGTTGCCAGAGCGCAATTTCATATCCACATATTTAGCTAAAAATATTTATATATGAGCATAAGCATATTACGACATTCGTTGTCAATTTATATATATATAACAACATTGACAAAGAAAACATACCAATAAGCTCAGCGGGCTTGTTGGCGCGCTGATTGATGAAGAATTCGAAGGCCTCTCGCAACGAATTTGTGAATTTCTCATTATGCTCAAAGCAAGTGCGCACAATAACATCCATTTTATCCTTGAAGTCCAACAGATCTTGCACCATACTCTTATCCTTCTCGGGGTCAATGACAATAGTGCGTCCTTTTTTCTACAATATATAAAAGAGTTTGATGTGTAAATGATTTGCGAATTGCATGCAGTTAGTTGGCTATACCTTGATGTAGCCATTAAAATTGCCGCATAGCTCGGAAGTGCCGTTTTTGACGCGACTAAGCAGTCCATACAAAAGGGTTAGATCGTTCAGTCTGTTGTCCTCTAGCAGGGAGTCAAGGCCCTTTTGCAGAATGGTTGTTAAGTGTTCGGCAAGCAGTTCCTTTTCCACATTATATATTAAAGGATGTCTGGAAGAGCATTCAATGAAATAAGTTGATAAATAAGTATATATATTATATATTAGCATACTTTGTGCTGGAGTCCAAGTAGTGCAACAGACGCTCATTCTCCTCGGCCAGTCGTTTGCTCACATGCTGTAAGTACTCGGGCACCTCCAATTCCTGCATCTTTCGTTGACTCTCAGCCTTGTACAGTTGATTGGTCGCATCCAGGAACTTTTCCTCAAACGCACTGCTATATATCTGCAGATCGCACAGCATACGTACTAAACTCTTGAGCAATCCACGATCGACTGTTGATCCCTGTCGTTCCTTTTCAATCAGCGCTAGTAAACCATCAACGGTGCGTTTCTGCACAACGCTATTCTGGGCAAAGTGTATGCGAAAGAGGTCCAGCCCCATGTCCCAAATAGAGTGTATGGACGAATTTTGCAGCACATAGGTCCGATCCATATATAGAAATATGCTGCGTATCATGATCATTTGCTGACAAAAAGATAGCCACCAATTGTTGATCTTTTCCAGCAAAACCTAAAAAGCATTTAAGTGCAATATAATTGATGATTTGCCAGCTGTTCGCTTCACTTACCAGCTTGTCCATACTTCCGCCAGTTAGCTCTTTAAGTTTAATATTTCTTTTGACGTGCTGCTCGGTTAATTCCATCAGTTTTATATATAGCTGTGCATCCATTTTATGGCTGCACATATTTACAACGGCCTGGTAGAGCTCCTCCAGTGAATATTTGATGGGCTTTGATAATTGAATAGCGATAACGGCCTCCTCAAGTTTCACATAAGTGTCCTCTGAATAGTTATCGGGCAGTGTGGGTTTAGCTATAAGGAGTATATGTAAATGGTATGTGAATCGTTATCGTTTATCACTCATCCTTATCGGGACTTAATAAATGCTTAATGCTTACCCTTAAAGTTCTTAATAACTATCTTTTTGACATCACCCGGCTTGGTGTTGTGTATGGCGCCCATCCGATTAAGCAGATTTGAGGTAGTTGATGCCGAACGCATATCGCTGCCATGATGCGAGCCCAGTTTCGAAAAATTCGGCAACCGTTCGCCGTTTGTGGACGCTGCTGAATTCATATTTTGGGCAGCGAAGGCGCTCCGGCCAAGGTTGCTCGCAGTCGTTGCGTTGCTGCTGCCGTTGT